CCCCATCCGAAAAGGTGCACCACCCTTGGGGATCGCGTGTCTGCGACTGCGACTTTGCTACTGCGACTAGTCTCTCACTTGCTGGCACTGGCAACCGGCACTGACTGCCAAACACAAAAAAAACCTGCGCTGCGTCTTCGGCGGAGAAACGAGCGAGCGAGAAGAGGGACCAAGAAAAGAAAAAAAAAAGCACCAGCCCGACTGCGCCCGTCCCGCAGCAGTAGCAGCCCAGCCCGCCACATACCACACTTCCAAATCCCTCCCACGCCCTCCTGTGTGTGTGCCTTTACTTCCGTCGCCCACGCCCCTACATAACATCCGCCACGGCATTTTGTTCTGGTCCAGTTCTGTCCCATCACAGCGTGCGACTGTCGGCTACTTGCATCTTCCCATTTTTTGAGACCCAACTCTTGGGGGGCCCTTTTTTACCCACGAACAAGAGCGACCCGAACGGATCGAAAACGAACGGCCGCCGCCGCCGCCCTGAAGAACCTTGTTGCGACTTGGAGGCCATTTTTTTTTCTCTCTTCCTCTTGTTGCATCAAACGGCGTCTATCCGGTGATCCCCAACCTGCGTCACCAGACGAACCAAGGAAAGGGAAAGAAAAAGGAGACCAAGAGGACGACGACGACCATACCTCGTCCCCTCCACGTCACTTTTCTCGCTTGCGGGCTCTGCATCTGCTGCCGCCCCTAGCCCTCCTGCGCCCTCCCTCCACTTCCGCAATTTTCTCCCTTTCCACTCCCAACGGTACGAGCCGGTTGCTGGATCTCACCCCAGTAACTGCCAACCACGGGGACTAGAGCTCCATCACGACAACAATGAGCCAGCAACACGACATGTATCTCGACTACTCAACCCCCGCCAATCGCTCCCCGAGCTCATCGAGGGGCTACGGCGGCAGCTTCCAGTCCGGCTTGTCCCTGCCCCGCCAGGCACAGCGCCCCTTCGACAACGGCCTGGGCTCTTCAGCCCTCTTCCCCTCCGACCGTCTCGGCTACAACCCCAGAGCGATGGATCAGATGTCTGCCAACGGAGTGCCGGGAGGATACATGCTGGACAACAACCAGGCGGCCTGGAGTTACAACGCCGGCGGTGTCGCGACTGTCAACGGTGCCATCAACGGTGCCAACAGGCAGAGGAGCGTGAACCGTCGTGCCGCTCTTCCTACAGTAAGTTTCATCAATCACGGCCGCTCCATCTGTGCCGACGTAATCTGACAATGCGTAGAATTGGACCGATCAGGGCCTTGGTATGCAGAACTCGTACGGCTCCAGCCTCAACGGCGGTATGTCCAACGGCCTGCGTTACGACGGCCACGCCGATATGCGACCCAGCTCGCAGACCGAGGAGCAGCTCATTCCCACCGCGATTGTAATCAAGAACATTCCCTTCGCCGTTCGCAAGGAGACTCTCGCTGCCGTCATGATGGACATGCACCTTCCTCAACCCTATGCATTCAACTACCACTTCGACAATGGCGTCTTCCGTGGCTTGGCTTTTGCCAACTTCCAGTCGCCCGAGGATACCAAGATTGTCATTGAGGCCATGAACGGCATGGAGGTGCACGGCCGGAAGCTCAGGGTCGAGTACAAGAAGATGCTGCCCGAGGCCGAGCGCGAGCGCATCGAGCGTGAAAAGAGGGAGCGACGCGGTCAGCTCGAGGAGCAGCACCGCGCCCCCATGCTGCACCAGCAGCCTTCTCTCCAGACGTTGAACAGCATGTCCAGCAACAGCAACCGCAGTGCGCTCGGTACGTCGCCTCTCACGAGCCATACGGTGTCGCACGCTAACGTTGCGACAGGAGACGTGAACCTGAACGACCCTGAGACGCTCGAGTTCTACACCGAGCTCACTCTGTTCAAGCGTGACAGCAGCCGGGAGATCCTCATCTTCCCTGCTTCCGTCTCCCCCGAACAGCGTCGCCAGATTCACATCTTGGCTCACAACATGGGACTCGAGCACAACTCCATTGGAGAGGCGGATTCGCGACAGATCCACATTCTCAAGCGTCCTCAGCCGTCACCCACAACCCAGAACCACCTGCCTGCTGTTGGGCTGGACTATCACAAGAAGGGCCTGAGCAGAGCGGCCACGTTTGACTTCGCCGCTGATCGGGAGGCTCGCAGCGCAAGCACCAACTACTCCCATGCCATCGGCCGCCAGGGCCCGACCCTTGAGCTTCCCGGCAGCCCAGATGGCAGCGGCCTGGCCAACCTGCGTGCCGCCAAGAGCTTCGCCGACCTGCGATCATTCAGCCCCAGCCCGTCTGCGTCTTCTTCGAGCTACCTGACGGCCATGAATGGCATCGGCAACATCCCCCAGTCTGGCAATCCTGGTGCTCGCTTCGGCGACTACAACGGCGGTGTCAACCAGGCCGGCGCTCTCGCGACCCCTAACCTCACCCCTACTTCCGGCACAGTCGGCACCCCTGGAACCGACAGCAGCCTGCTCAGCTCCCTCGGTGGCTTGAACCTGGGATCCTACGACGCCTCGGCTCACACGCAGGCGCGCAGCACGCCCGGTGCTATCGGCAGCCAGCGTCCTGGCGCCAACGGCTCGAGCCGCAACGCTCCCGACAGACAGCCCCGGGGCCCTGAGTGGGAGCCCTCCGCCGGATTCAACGGACGCAACCGCTCCAACGGCCATATGCAGCGTGGTAGCGGTGAGTTTTTCTGCCCGTGATGCTTGACACGAGCTCGAGGCTAAACAGCAGCAGACTCCTCCGACAACGCTCCCCGTGCTGGCAGCGCGTCTCGATTCCACTAGACAAGAACCCTAATTTCCTCGCCGAGACTGCCACGACAACCACTACAATGAGGACACGATTCATGACTCGCGACGTATAGACCACTACAAACGACTTTCGACGAGTTCACCCAGCCCCCCCACAGCTCGGTTACCGGCAACCCTGTGTTATTCATGCCATTTGTTGTCTTTCATTATGGTCACTCTCCCACCCATACTGCTTATAATGATGATTTGTTGGACACGAGCCTTTGGCAGCGTCATGATGTTTCGCTCGGCCGTCTCGGATTTGGTGGATAGAAGATTCCTACGTCGCGGCGGCATCCTTCGTTGGATTCACGTCACCTGCCCGGCAACGGAAACCTCAGCTCATCGTTGTTTTCACGACCAGAGAAGGATGAACGGAAAAGAAACCTGGATACAAGAAAAAAAAACACTTGATATGGGCAACCATTTCGACATGGCACGGCGCCCATGGCGGTCCCCTATACCCCTCTCCCTGTTTCCCCGCCATACCTCCTTTCATGGCGCGCGGAAGCATATGAACCACCTTTGACGATGAATACGCTGTTACGACCTTTTTATGTCTAGATAGCTGTACCAGCATGCTCGACAAAAACCGTTTTTTGGATGACGAGACCATGCTTCGGCGACCATGACTATACCCACCTAATATCGCGGTCCGGCATCATTTTCACACACCATTGACGACTGAGGATGGATGTTTCAAGCCTCTCATGGGCTCATCTCACGGCCAAGTTTTTCGATTGAGCCTCTACCCAAAGCACCAAAAACCCAGGAGCGGGTCATTGAAGAAAAGAAAAAAAGTTTGATCTGATTCTTGGCGTTGTTTCTTCTCATATTTGGCATTTTCTGTTTTCAATTTCGGGTCCCATTTTTCCCCCATCGATCTTCTCTCGGACTTGACTGAGCCTCCCAGCCTGAGCCTGGCTCTTATGGGATGGCACTCTGATAGAAAGTTTGATTGGGAAATTGGCGTTGAGGCTGCATTGGGGCTGCTTGGTCGTGTTCTATTTACTCGGGTCTTTATAGGGACCTTGTTAGAGTTTGCTGCTTTTTGTTATTTCCGTCGGATCTTTTTGATATGCATTTGCGAGCATCGAGGTTGGATGACAGGACGAGATCAGTGGATGATCATTTGTCGATGTCTTTGGAAGACACATGGGAGAGATGAGATGGCAGAAATGCGAGGACGGCCAGACCTGTTTTGTAATGTGCATTGGCACAGAGCGAGAGAGATAATACGATGACAAGAGGATGATTGTATGGAGAGCCGCACACACTGGGCCGCTGTGCCGTTTTGCGCGTTGTCAAATATACTGCGTTTGATTTCATATCTGAGGTCCTAGTCATAAGTGAATGAATGAATGTGTATGCTGCTTTTCTGGAAACGAAGCTGTCTCATTGATGATATGTGGCTGACTGGTCCGAGTACTCGGCCGCCGTACTTCGAACTCACGGCGTTTTGTTAGACGTGGACCTTCTCTCGGCCCCCAAAACGCATCAATGTTCAACCACACAAAGATTCTGTCTTTGAACCGGGCACGTTTCGCACCACCTCGGCGGTAAGGAACGCCTTTGATGAACCAATGTGTCGGAGCCTAGGTCGGAAGAAATCCATGCTGTGTTCTGATCGGGCGAGGATGAGATGTGAGAACTCGTTGGGTTAAATAGATGTTTGGTCTTTCTCATCCTGCCATGGACTCTGGACGACGACAAGCGGGTTTGGTTTGATCGTTCGGTTTGTTCGACAGTCACTGGACGTGTATGACGCTCATCCCATTTGGGAGGACTCATTCACCTACCTGTCAGGCTCGGGAGTGAACAACATCTTCATCTTCTTGATAATCGATGCTTGGTACTTCTACGTCATCTTCTTGAGCGAAGTTCTGCTGCCAACGACCACCTCACTAGATCAAAGCTCTGCCAATATCCAGATCTCCCCGCTCCAATGACGATACCGCCACTTCTCCAGCATCATCCCGTCGGGCGGAACGGTATGCCAACGAGAACAACCCTTCCAGATGGGACTCTCCTCCAGCGACGAGACTCAACGGCCATCTCACCGACGAGCTCCCAAGACAGCATCAACACCGCCCGCTCTTCCTCGTCGTCACCGTTGCCGCCGCCGCCGCCGCCGACACCCCAGGCCTGGATCTGGCGCTGCCACATCTGCAACGCAACCTTTCGCCTCTCCTGCACCCGCCGGTGCCTCCACTGCGGGCACGTAATGTGCACCACCCCGCCTCCGCCCCAGCCAAGCAGCAACAGCAGCAGCCGTCGCAGAAGCAGAGCCGGGCCCTGCGCCATGGAGTTTGACTACGAGCGCTGGGCCGCGTGGGGCGACTGGCGTCGGCTCTGTCGCACAGCAGAGGAGGACACCTTACGGCAAGAGACAAACCCGTCCTGGGGCGAGCGGGAATCGCAGCGTAAGACGCGGCTATACGACCGCGTGGGAAGCTGTCGGGACGACTGCGACTATCCCTCCGAATGTCACCACCTCAGGTCGGAGATGCGGCAGCGGTTCACGGTGGTAGACAGTGGTGAGGTGTCGCCGATTAGCCCGCCATCCATGGAGGAGGCTGCGAGGTCGATTTTGGGAATGGGTGTCGAGGAAGCGGACTGCATTTTCGCGGCGGCGGATTATCTGGAGAGCAGGTTTGCCGAGGCTCGTCGAGGCGAAATCTCAGGATTGGGGTTTGACGTATACGCAGACGCGCCTGAGAGAGAGGAGTGGGAGGAGTGGTGGGATGACGACAGTGGGTACGGAGCGGCTTCCGAAGACGAAGACGTTGACATGGTGTATGAGGATATTCGCGGATAGTTGTCAGGAGAGACGCAGTAGAATAGCAGCAGTCACACCGAGTTTGCAATCATGAGTGTGCACCCCATTACAATTTTTATTCGTCTACCTAAGCCCATCAGCCAGTGCCATATCCGCGTGCCTTCTTAGGAACCGAAACAGGAACCTTGAATTGTTGTACATGTGAGTGCCAGATTCGGGGCGCATCTGCGCGGGCCCCGGGTGAGTGTGCGTGTGTGTGCAGGTGCCCTTCATTCCTTGGGAACGAGGCGCTCTCGGCTCCTCTACGGCCCCGTCAAGCATCGTAGCCCATTATACGTCGAGTGCAAAAACACCAGCACGAGACGCTGTGTCGCGTGTGCCTCGTCTTGCGAGACGTTATTCAGAGCACATTTTTCTCCAACAGTGTCGTTCCTGACCAGGATAAGGAAAGCCAGAAACAGCATCCCTTCAAACTAACCTCACCCCAAACTACCAGGAAAAACAATAAGACAACCGGGAATATCAACAGTTTGCAAGAGACATTGGAGTGAGCAGGGTGGGAGTTATGACAACTCTTTGCCTCGGTGCTTCGTCTCCCATCTCTTAGGCCTCGAGGGCCTTGGCCTTCTTCTTCTGCTCAACCTTGAGCAAAAGCGCGCGGTTGATGTGTGGCAGAACACCACCGAAAGCGATGGTGGCGCGAATCAGGGTGTCGAGCTCCTCGTCTCCGCGGATGGCGAGCTGGAGATGGCGGGGCGTAATACGCTTGACCTTCAGGTCCTTGGCGGCGTTCTGTCACGGTGTTAGTTTGCACGTTAGGCAGACGCCGCGATGAGTCAACGCGGGGCGTCGGTAAGGATGCACTTACGCCCGCAAGCTCGAGAACTTCAGCAGTCAGGTATTCGAGGACGGCCGTAACGTAGACCGCTGCCTTGGCACCAACGCGCATCTTGTTTTGCGTGTTGGCCTTCAAGAAACGCTTGACACGACCGCAGGGGAACTGCAATTTTTTATTCTGATCAGCAGGCTGCGCAGCCAGAATGATGGCCAGATGCGCCATCCGGGTTTGCGCCGTCGAGTCTGAGCTCCCGAAGTATCGTGCACGCGACCAGCACCCGTATCTAACATGCCGTCTCTGCATGGGTGACGGACGGCGCGCAGCAGAAGTTGATGGCAGAGGGCGCAGTATGATCGAGAGCGACGGATGAAAGAGGCGGTTGTCGTGGATTGAGGTTGGGACGCGTCGGAAAGGAGTGGTCGGTCGATGATCGATATCGGGGCCCAGAATCGACGTGCAAAGGCGGCGCATCATCATCAGGTCGCAAAACTTACCTGCAGCCCAGCGCGGGCAGAGTGGCTCTGCTGCTTCTTGGGGGCCTCGGCGGTGGCCTTGCCTCCAGACGTCTTTCCGCCAGACTTTCCCTTGCCGCCAGCCATTGTTTATAGTGATGCGAGTGATGCGCGAAAAGATCCGACAGGGTTTTCAAAAGTGAACAAAATCGATGATTCGATCAAAGCGGGGATGCGCGAATCGAAAGCAATGTTGGAAAAAGAAGAGCTCTACTCGAAGAAGCTGTCTCGGGTGGTGGTTGAAGATGGAGGGGTTGTCGAGAGAAGCTTTGGTGGAGGTGGATGGAGGTGGCAGAAATTTAGCAGAAGGCTGACCGTGATTGTTGTTGTTCGTCGGTGACGGCAGGACTTGGAAGGACAGGGGGGGCGAATGGGAGCGGAGGGCGAGTGGTGAGTGGGAGGGAGCTTTTCGGTGGGTGCTGCTACGGTGCGGTGCAGAGGTGCGGGTGCGTTGCGGGTGCGGGTGCTGCAGGAAACTCGCAGGGCACCTTCTTCAGGTTCGAGTTCGAGTCGGTGTGGTTGGTGCCCGAGTGCCTTTTTTTTTTTGTCGGTTTCTCCTGCTGCAGTCCAGTCGTGCTTCGGGTGCTAATCTGTCTCTGTGGTTTTGTAGACGTCCACGGCAAGGCAAAGCGAGGCGAGGCGAGGCCAGTGCTTCCTGCGACGGTCCAGCTGGTGGTGTCTCGTTGCCTTCCCGTCTGCTGCTGCTGGTAGTGCTTCGTCCTTGCTGAACCATGGAAGCCTGCCTGCCTGGCTGGTGCTCCTCCCCGTGTAAGGTACGGTGGGCAGAGTTTGCTTGGGAGTTTGCTGAGCTTTCGTGTTTCGGTCCTCTGATTGGCTGCTGGGAGCTGAGCTGTGGATGGCTATGTTATGGCGCTAGCGGCAAGTGCCCAGACTTCCTTGACAGAATGTTATTGCCGGAATGCAACGGCACCCGAAGTAAACCCGGTCCGTTGCACACCACACAACACAATGGCCGAGGTGGACACTGCGGGCAGAGGCGTGGAGGCTGATGGGAGTGCGGGTGATGGTGGTGAGCCGCATGGAAGACGCTGCCACTTGCAGTGTCTCCAAGATGCGGCTTTGCCAACCGCAACTCGCTGAGTTGACGAAGTCGCAGCAGACAATAAGAGAAGGGCTCGTTCAGCTCGAACAAGCCAGGCAGAAGCAAGGAGAGGACACAGCCGTCGAGAGACACATACCTTGACCTACCTTGAAGGTGAGGCTCTGCGGCGGATGCCAGCAGCAGCCCTCGCCTCAGCCCGCTGCATTGGCGCGAGACGGCGAAAAGAGTCTCAGAGAGTAGAGTGGATGGTGTCTGCATCAGTCTGCAACCATATGCAGCCCGCCTCGGGTCGAGGACGTGAGTGTTGCCATCTCGACAGTGATGTTGCTGAGGCTGGCCTTGATGTCGACGCAAAACGCAGACCAAGGCAAGCGTCCCGCACGAGGCTGGTGGTGTGGCGCCCGTCACATGATGTGGCTTGACTCCCTGTCGTCTTATGTAAGTGCCCAAGAACACGGGCCGTTCGGATGACTCCACGCTTTTGCCGGCAACCCCAGGCTCCCAAGGCTCCCAAGGCTCCCAAGCCAATCTGGGCTCGGCAGTCACGGGCAACACTGGATCTTGGTCTCCTTGCAAAGCCGGAGCCCGGGCAGGTGCCATGTCCTTGTTCCTGGAAGTCCAGCAGCTGCGGCCAAGTGCCAAGTGACATCTCCCCCTCCTCCAGTGCAGTGCATCGCCGCCCCCCATTTCTTTTCCCCTCCAGTGTCCCCTCCCGTCAATCAATTCCGTCCCCTCTTCCTAGCTTGACTTTGAATGCGCATCATCACGCGCTGCCGATCGAGTTCGAAACTTTGCCCAACCTAGATTGAGTCAGCTGATGGCGCGGACCGACCGCAGCAAAGACGACGATGGAACCCTCACCTCTCACCTCACCAGCCGTTGCCTGTCGAATGGTTGGCTGGTCGACCTCTGCCTTGGCTCTACCACATCGCGGGCCAACATGTGATCTCATCAGTCATCAACTTATAGTCATTCTGGCGAAGCTCTCCTATGCACCGGTTACATCGCGTCGTGCTGAGTCGATTTTGGAAACAAAAACACAATTTAGCCAAGCTATACAAACTCCTCTTTGCCCAGACAACCTCGTGTGATACGCAGCCGCCGCGTCGGCTCACAAAGCTTGATTGATAGCTGCCACAGCATGTCCACACCAGGCACAGCCAGCCCTTCCGCGATCCGGAGTGCTGGAGGCCGCGCTCTCCGTATCATTGGTCCTGGTCAAGCAGCAGCAGCAGCGACAGGACGCTTCTTCCGGGAGCTTCAACGTCGCTGTCTGCTGACAAGCTTGCGGGAATGGAAGGCAAAGGACACATGGGAATGCGGGGATGGCTTCTTGCGCGTTCGGTGGCCGACTACTCGCTGCCCAGCAAGCTGGACACTGGTGTTGACAAGCTCACTTGAAACGTTCCTTGACGACAGCCGGGATGGCTTGGCCAATGCGAGCCACCACTGCAGTCTGCCATGGTGTGCAATGGCCTCCAACAGCCCTAGCTAGACGGGCAGTGGCCAGCAACAAGCAGCCAAAAGTTGCTAAAGATGGACATGGAGATGCTTGGCCACGTTTTGATGCCGCCTGAGGCTGATCTGAGCACCCTCAAAGTGGTGCACCATGCAGGAAGGCCTCCTGGCTTGGCGTTGCCTCTACTGGCGTGGACTCTTAAGACCAGAACAGTCTCGTCGTCTTTGGTCTTGGGTTGAAGGGCTGCCTGCTGTGGACTTGACATGAGATGGTTGACATGACCAGTGTGCATCCATCTACTTCCTTCCACCACTATCACACGCAACTGACTCTGACGGGAGAACCTTGCTGAACCAACACTGAAGGCACGCTTGAATCAAGCAAGCGGTATTTTGGCTGTGTGGTCTTTTTATCTACCTACCAAAGCTTCTGCCCTCTCCTTATTTTATTATTTTCTCCAACTCCTCCACCTCCTCCTCCGTTCGTTCCAGGAACAGGAACAGGAACCAAGCAGCCACCAGCCAACAAGCGTCCCCTCGACCCTGACGCTTGTTGTTGACGCCCAAACACACTGACGCCGGACGGGAAGCTCACACGGGCACAACCCCACCTCGAAGCCGCGAGCAACGACCCACGTGGTACCTCAGCCGCCACGGCGTCGTCATACGATTGGCGGGTATCGTGCATGTCACACCGCTGGCTCCCTCTCTCGTCTCCTCTGCTCCCCTTCTCCTCCCTCGCGGGCAACCAAGACGCACTACCACCACTTGGGCGGTCCCAACCCCCTTGCGATCGCTGCGTGGCGGTTGCTCATTCCAGCCCGTTCGTTGCAAACTTGCAGGCCGCCCCTAAAAAGGTGAGACCACTTTCGAGAAGACTGGACGCGAGTGTGCGTTTGTGTGCTTGCTGTGCTTTTGCGGTCTGGTCTGCCCCTCGCCCGACTCCCCAGTCCCCCCATCAACTTTGGCTGGCATACATACATCCGAACCGAAGCGAACGGAATCCCCAAAAAACCAAGGGGACAATCGACAGAAACCCTGCTTTACGTCGAATGAGGCCTGTCGGGAGGCACACGGGTTGCTTGACCTGACCTGACCTGACCTGACCACAGCGCACACCAAGTTGTTGTGGAAGAAGAAAGCAAAAAGGTCCCTGTCATCGGTCTGGGCGGGCTACCACATCACCATCGATCATCACCGATCATCCGTCTCCTCCGCCGTCCGTCTCCTCCGCAAGGGCGCTTCTTCTTGTTCTTCCCTACCTTATTACTACGTCTCCTTTTCCACCCTTCCCCTCCCTTACCTTACACTTCCGCTTTCTCTTGAACCAGAATCATGTCCTGCCGGTTTACAGCCACCGAGGCTGCCTTTGCAGACGTGGGCTAAGACCAACCAACAAGCAAGCCAACACAAGACGCTACGCAGAGAAGAGACAAACCCACCTTACACAACGCAATACACCTTACACACACGGCATCGCACCTCCTCATACGCATAAGCAGGCACATGCGCATACGCATCCTCAGTATTTTACACTCTTGTCAACCTCACACCACAGTCGACATCGCCCCAACTTTCGCCTAGGATTCCCGGTGCGGATTGGAAGCCCGTTTCACATCGGCTTCTCTGCAGCACGCCGGGTTCCAGCAAGTTTCAACCGTCCGTGACGAGGGAATCCCCGGTCGCCCAACCGCCCGCACCAGATCAGATCTGCCCTTCAAACCGTCCCGTTCACGGCAGCAGACTCCCGTGAGCAAACCATCCAGACATTCGCAGTCCCGTGCCGGGCGCACTATGGATGCCTTCGAGGTAGTCCGCTCTTTCGGCAGAGGCATCAATCGCGCTGCCCGCGGCGTGCGCAACAAGGTGCGCCGTGACGGACAACCATCATCATCTGAAAGCTCCCCCACCTCGTCGGCCCCATCTCTGTCCGCTTCATCCACCAGCGCCGAGGAACCGCACCACGCACCGACCGGCCAGCAGCCCGATCTCGAGGCTCAGATTCCTCCTCCAGTTCAGACGGCCTCTTCTCAAAACCACTACGAGGCCGTCCCGCTGGCTTCACCGCCGCCTTTCACACCTACCACACCGCACCACCAGCCAGCATCACCTCCACCTCACACGGCAGCTCACTCGCAGCATGTGCTCCCAACTCTTACCCTTACCCTGGGTCCCTCAGCCCAAGCCCCCACTCACGATGCATCTGATCACTCGCATCCACCTCAGTCTGCCGGGTCTACCGTCTCGGCCATGTCAAATGCCCAGACATTGAACAACAGCAATACTCATATCCAGACTCTCAATGTACCGGCAGACCTGTCGCAGCCCGTGTCGCCGCTGTCACCACTGCCTCCAGCGATTATACACTCGCCAGCTTCGCCCTCATTCATCCCGTCTGCCATCTCGTTTGCGCCCCAAGTCCACCCGAACTCACCCGTTCCTCAGCCTCTCAACCTATCGGCAGGACCCTCACCCTCCGGTCAATACCTCCCATCGCCACTGAACTCTCCGCTACCGCTGGATCTTGAGCGATCTTCGCGATCGCTTCACACCAGAGAAAAGGATG